CAGAGTCCATCATCTCTCATGGTTCGTCTCCCCCTCTGACATACTCCCCTTTTCTTCTTCTCCTGTTATCTTCTTCTTTTTCTTTTTTCTTAAAATATGTTGCGTTATTTGTTTCAGAAGTACAGATCTGTGATTCAACAGTCTTGCACAATTCACAGCGCTCACCATAGCACATACCCTCCCCAATGTCTATCACCCAGCCACCCCATCCCTCCCACCCCCAACCACTCCAGTAACCCTCAGTTTGTTTCCTGAGATTAAGAATTCCTCATATCAGTGAGGTCATGTGATACATGTTTTTCTCTGATTGACTTATTTCACTCAGCATAACACCCTCCAGTTCCATCCACGTCGTTGCAAATGGCAAGATCTCATTCCTTTTGATGGCTGCATAATATTCCATTGTGTATATATACCACATCTTCTTTATCCATTCATCTGTCGATGGGCATCTTGGCTCTTTCCACAGTTTGGCTATTGTGGACATTGCTGCTATAAACTTTGGGGTACACGTACCCCTTCGGGTCCCTACATTTGTATCTTTGTGGTAAATACCCAGTAGTGCAATTGCTGGATCGAACGGTAGCTCTAATTTCAACTGTTTGAGGAACCTCCATACGGTTTTCCAGAGGGGTTGCACCAGCTTGCATTCCCACCAACAGTGTAGGAGGGTTCCCCTTTCTCCACATCCCCACCAACATCTGTCGTTCCCTGACTTGTTAATTTTAGCCATTCTGACGGGTGTGAGGTGGTATCTGATATGAGGAATTCTTAATCTCAGGAAAGAAACTCAGTGTGGCTGGAGTGGTGGGGGGTGGGAGGGATGGGGTGGGTGGGTGATAGTCATTGGGGAGGGTATGTGCTATGGTGAGCGCTGTGAATTGTGCAAGACTGTTGAATCACAGATCTGTACTTCTGAAACAAATCATGCAACATATGTTAAGAAAAAAGAAAAAGAAGAAGATAGCAGGAGGGGAAGAATGAAGGGGAGTAAGTCGGAGGGGGAGATGAACCATGAGAAATGATGGACTCTGAAAAACAAACTGAATGTTCTAGAATGGAGGGGGTGGGGGGATGGGTTAGCCTCGTGAAGGGTATTAAAGACGGCACATTCTGCGTGGAGCACTGGGTGTTATGCACAAGCAATGAATCATGGAACACTCCATCAAAAACTAATGATGTAATGTATGGTGATTAACATAACAATAAAAAATTAAAAAAAAAATAAAAATACGTGTGAACATAACCACAGATATCTATGACTTAAAACAATTAAAAATATCTTATTTTTTAAAAAATACCTCTTACTCCCAACAATGTAGGATCCTGAGAACCAGTCACTTGTGCACACTGAGTGTTCAAATGCAACTTTCTGCCGAATAATTCATGTAAGCAGGCCAATGAGATGTCAGGCTGTTATCCCTAGCTGGGAAATTAAATGTTTTCTTCCTTGGTGAATACTGTGTTGACAGGCTCTGTTTAGAGGAATTAGGGTAGGTAAAGGCACGAGAAGCCTGGTGTCTGGTGCCTCCTCAGTCACTCTTTACCTTCCCTGCTCCCTCCAAAACGAGGCCAGCAAGGACAAACCCCACCGACTTCACGATATCAGCAAGACGTGTGTGGAGCATCCCTGATGCAGGAGGCAGAGGAGAGAAGCAATAGATCCTCTGGTGGAGCTGGATCAAGAGCCCGTCATGGCAACACTGATGATCCCTGGGCACCCTGGGAGGGAATTGCGCAAGTCCTCATTCTGGGGTGAAGGCAGGGGGTCAGCAGCAGGGGCTGAAGGAGCCAGGCAGGCTGGGCCTGCAAACTCTCAAAAAGAACTGATTGAAACTGCCTCTCAGCACCAGGCCCCACAACGCGGGGACACTGCTTGGAATAGAGGGGGCAGAACAGGTACAACTGGGGAGAGAGGCCCTTGGAGGGTGGGTGGGGAGAGCAGTGCCAGGGGCCTCAGAAGGGAGGGCGCATTTGTGGACACTCCAGAACCGTGGGCTCCAGAGTCAAGGAGCTAAAGGAGCCATCCCCCTACCCAAAAGTTAGGGAACTAAGGTCACACACACAGGAGCCACAGAAAGGGGCTGCGCTTAAATACAGTATCAAATTCTTATCAGTAAAAAAGAGTAAGAACAGGATCAGGTCCTTAGAGACAAAAACAGTTTACCAGAAAGACATCTCCGCAAAATGGGTAGAAACTATAACCCAAGATTTCAAGACGAACTAGAATAGATTAAGAAAATAACAGACAATATTAAAGAACAATAGAAATCAGGATTTGAAAACTAGTGAAAAATGAAAATAATTATTTTAGAAAGGATAATTAAACAAAAGGACAATAAGAGAGTTCTGGCAAGGGACAGGGTCACCCCACCTTATAGATGGGATCACCTTATGCACAGGGTCACCTTATGGACAGGGGTAACTGGCCCAGGCCACCAGAGAGGGGAGGGCCAGGGCTGTACAGTGGGGGTGGGAGGAATGTGCTGGTGCTCAGGGGTCCCTGGGGGACTCAGTGCTGCACACCCAGACTGAAGAGTAAAGAGGTAAATGCAGCAGCTGTGACCAGAGCTCATCTGCAGCTGCACGGTGGGGCCGCTGTCCCTCTGCCTGATCCTGCCTTCCTCGCTGACCACTCTAACTCCTGGGACCACGGCCCAAATGTCCTTGGTGGCTGTTCATTTCAGAGGCTATCTCCAGAGAACCCAATCTAAGGTGGCAGGCCGCTCTCACAAGGAGCATCTACTGGGCCAGGGCTTAGAATGTGGCTGTGTACTGTAGAACGACCCCTTAATGTTGTCGGATACACGAGGCTGAACGGGGAAGTGACCTGCTGGCCTGGGGGTCCCCTGCCCCATGGTGGCCAGGCCAGCACTGGAAGACCTCTTCACTATCTGCCATTTCCACTCTATGCTCCACAGCCCTCCCTGGAAGAAGCACTTCCCTTCTACATTTCTTTATTTCTATCTTTTAAATTTCCTTTGACATTTCCCCCTCTGACACATGGGGAAGCTTTTTCTTGAACCTTGGAAATTGTTCTCTTGAGGAACATTACCATTCTGGTATACTTTGACTTTACACTTTCTTTTCAGGAGCTTTGCCTACTTCTCCTCTTTCCTAAATGTGTCATAACACGTTCTCTGGAAATTCCCTTGAGTTGACATCTTTATTTTTATTTTTATTTTTATTTTTTTATTTTTAATTTTTTTAAAGATTTTTATTTATTTATTTGACAGAGAGAGAGAGAGAGCACAAGCAGGCAGAGTGGCAGGCAGATGGAGAGGGAGAAACAGCTCTCCGCTGAGCAGGGAGCCGGATGTGGGGCTCGATCCCAAGACCCCAGGATCATGACCTGAGCCGAAGGCAGCCGCTTAATGGACTGAGCCACCCAGGCGCCCCTTGAGTTGACATCTTTAAAAGAAAGAATTCACAACCAGAAAATATGCACAGTGATTCTTGCTGTTGTTGGGAAATCAGAAAGTGGTCCAAAGAGTTCCCCTAAGTAGTCTGAGTTTATTGCTATGATGACTGGAGGAGTTGACTTCCGAAGTGTGGAAGTATGTTGGCTTTCACGTTTGAAGAACAAATATGCACTAGTTTTCTAGAAGACACTGAACAGCTCCATATTCACTGTCACTTTTGGAAATTAATTTGTTACCAGTTGTGTCCTGTTTATATTATTCACATAGAATAATATAATCTTATTATTTGCATGAGAAAGGCAAATCCAAAAAGAAGTGAATTCTTCTCTCAGTTGATTTTTTTAAACACTTTGTACATAGTATTGAAAACAATCATTTTTCCTACTTAATGCAAAAGAGGCAGAATGAAGAATATTCTTGAAATGACTTTGCAAGATGTGCTTTATTTTAAGTCAGTCCTGAACCCAAACTACATAGGATCATGTTTTTGATGTATTCTAGTCCATTCGATGATTCCTCACAAACTGTATTTTAATACGGAATGAAAACTACATTTCAATCATAAATTTTCATGCTACATTGTTATTTAATGAAGAGGTTGTATTACCAATAATAATAATTTAAGAAAAGGCCATTTTTTATTTCCCCAAGCTCAATATACATATTTCTTTCATAATTATGAACTTAAAAAACCCGTCTCAGATGTAAAAATGTGAATTGGAATATGTAAACTTTTGATATACCTGAAAAACAGGAAGGAAAATGTCACATACTGGAAAACATCATTGCCTTAAATCATTGAAATGGGAAAAAGCGTGTGAGGGATGGGGAAAGGTAGAAGAGCATTCATGACCTCAGTTAGTAAAGAGTTACAAAGTCAGAGTATTCATTCCACACCCAGCTGGGCACCATTTTGATCCTTCTACCTGGAGCCTGTGTCTGACGAGGAGCAGTAACTCTGAAGCAGAACAGCCACCACCACTGAAGCGAGTCACGAGCTGGGCCTCAACAGTCGGTGTCCACATATTTGTTTTGCTGTTTTGTTTTGTTTTTTTCCTGAGAAGTCACTGGTGTTTAGTGGAAAGATTTTTTTATTAGTCTTAGTTAAGATAAGGCAGTAAGAGTGTCACTAATGTTAACTTTTTGCTTAGAACGAGGCTTATCCTTCCTCTGGTATCTTCATGGGTCTTTGGCTCCCTTTCTTGTTTCCCCCTAGAAATCCATTCAGGAGTTTCAGCCTCCTATTGCTGTTGCATATTTTCGGGTGTGCTGAGGCCATCTGTTCTCCTCACAGCAGCTTCCCCGTGGTGACAGAGCACAGCGTTTGCCATTATAGGATCTCTTCAGGTCCCTGCGCAGAAAAACATGGGCGTCTTTCTTTCTTCCTTCTTCTTCTCTCCTGTTTCTCTGAGGGAAGAGACCCATAAATGACTCCTTTGCATAGTCAATCAGAATGCAAGACACTGTTGACTAAAACATAAAACAAGTAGCCCTGATTTTTGGAGAAATGGAATTACAAATAACTTTTTCAACAGCGCCTTCATTTGCAAGGTAGCTTAGATTGCAAAAGGAAGTCAGCTCCTTTTGAACACCTGTCAGAAGAGAAACCATTTCCGTCCAACTAGAAATGCTTAGCTCTTATGAGAATATTGTGCTTTTTTAAAAATTCAAATGTTAACTTGATTTGCAGTCTGTGTCTTAAAGTATCAATTTGTTTTTTCTCTAGTCCATTTGATCATGGTTTCTGGTGAGCGGTACAGGAATATTAATTTGGCATAGAGATCTTCCTCTAATTCCAGTTCCCCTGTCTCTCGAACTAAAAAAATATCTGTGCACAACTTCAGGATTCGATCCACATTTGGAAGCTCTTCAAACATGATGGAGTGAGAAATCCCACTGAAGAATTCACGGACAAACTTCCCAATCACAAGGACAACTGAAGCATATAATCCCATGATACTGAAAAAAAAAAGTAGAAATTGTATCTACCAGTTAAATACAGTTAATAGAACACATCTAAGAGAAAAAAAAACAAACAGTATTTCCCTCCAATTCCATGAAGACATGATAAACTTATCAAAGCTTAAAGTTTTTCCCTTACAGAACCTATAAGACTTAAAAAATGAAAATTAAAAAAAAAAATCCCAATTCTGGAAATGACCAGTGTTAACAGTTTCATGGATGAACTTCAGGTAGTTTTACTGCATATATTATATAAAGAAACCACATACTATATTTGGTAGAAATGCCATTGTACTATGTACATTTTTCTGCACCTAGCTCTTTATTTTTATAAATACAATTTTGCATAGACAATTATTTTTTAACAGACGTTCTTGTCTTGTTGGGGATATATGTGTCCTAGCATTTAAGGATCAGAAAACTGTGAAACAGTAGCTTCAGGCCATTCTGGACATCGGACCATGTCCCAAACTGCGACGTCTGACTGAGGCCATGTCTGCTAAGGTCAGAAGACAATCTAAACAGGAAAGAGGTAACCTTACATCAATTTTTATGTTTAAACACTTAGTGGCCTCAAACATAACAGGAAGGGTGTAGAGTGAAGAAACTGGACATAGGACTTCTAGACCTGTCCTTAAGGGTGTTACTGACATCAGGCATTTTGACTTCTCTTCATTTTTTAAAATGATGGGCCAGTGACCTATGAATTTTAACGTTGCAGCTATTAAGTTCAAGGATTCTAGGAAGATACAAGGCTTCCCATCCTCAACTTTATATGATACAGAAGTAGACTCTTGTAACTGTTGACTGTAAAATAAGTTCTTACCCGTAGCCAGCCAAGAACCCCAGACTTGGGGGGCTGACTTTGTCATTGAAGACCACCAGTTCCAAGGCCTGGGCATGCTGATTGAATATTCTATTGCCAGTAAGGTTGAGAACCCACCACTCACTGTTAGATTTAGTTGTATTGTCTCTGGACAAAATGATGGTGATATTCATGAAATTATTTTCTGGAAGAGGAGAAAAATGAATTCAAGTTAGCATGAGACTATTAGGATTTAATGCACATAAACAGTCCTCAGATGGCAAAACCTAGTTACTACTGTCCATAACGTATGCTGCCAGGATAAGTAGGACACAGGGACATGGTAACAATGTGAGTGGAGAAAGAAAAGTGGGCCCTAGGTGTACATAAAGTTTCTCCTTGTCACAAGACAAGTAGCTCACTGCTGCTGAGTGAGTATGGCAGACACATCACAGGAGAGAGGGAAGACCCATCACCTGAGTGTCTTTGCTGATAATTCCAAACAACTAGTTAGACATTTAAAAACCCAAATCACTGACTTTTTAGTCAATTGACTAATTCAATCTTGTTACCAGCATTTATTGCATGTCTTTGAGGAGGAAGACACCCTGTCAGGTGATAAGGGTTACAAAGTTGAGTACAGCATGATTCCATATCTCAACAGGAACAGGCCATGTATACAAGTGGGACTTAATGGGCATGTGGCAACCACTATAGGACCTGCACCAATGAGGCTGTTAGCATGGGGAGACTACATCTGCTTGGTAGGATCCAGGAGGGCTTCGCAGAGGAGATGGCTTCTGAGTTGAGTTTTGCAGAGTGAGAACTTCAGTAAGTGGAGATGGAGGGGGAGAGGAGGCTAGTTCAGGAAGGCTTGGTGGCATGAAGCTCAGTAAAGTTCTGAAAATCCATGATGTGTGATTAATGATTGCTTTTGTTGGAGCACAGAGTCAATATAAAAGAATAGGAAAAGGGTGGAAAAAAGCTTGGGAGTTCTCTGAGCAAGTCTTTCTAAGAAAATACCACCCCTGTCAATGATAATAGGGCCTCCGTTGAGAGTCCTGGTGGTGGACTGTGAGGGCAGGGGCTGTGTCTGCATTATTTCCTGCTAAATTCCTGGATCAGAGGAATCTGGAACAGTGCCTTTAGACATGTCTAAATGAATGTCTATTTGATGGATGGATGGATGGATGGATGGGTGGATGGGTGGATGTATGGACTGATGGAGAGTGAGGCAGGAAACTGGTAAAGATAAAGAAACCCTTACCCAGGACAAATGTGAACCACCCAGAATGCTCAGGAACAAAAAGAATCTTGGTTCTGAAGTCTAGAGAGTTCTGAGAGGGAACATCTGGCCCAGGTTTGAATCTAGTTTGTTCACATACTGGCTGTATAACCACTGCTGAGTAATTCACACCCTGAGCCTCAGTTTCCTCCTTTATAGATTGGTGATAGCCACCAACCTATGCTAAAGATCAGACATAACTCGGTAAAGATCATCAGAGAAGCTGTGGGGTTGGCAGGACCCAAGAGCACCAAGACCATGTGGTCTGGGCAAGAAGTCATTGGCTGGACCTCAAATGACTCACAGCCAATAGGCCTGTGTTTGCAGAGCACAGAACATGTGGCTGAGAAAGGGGAAAATAAGGGTGGGGAGGGGCTGGGAATCTGGGCACAAAGTGAGGCTGACCCTGGAGGGAGGAGCCCCATCTTCCTGAAGCTGAAAGGAAGGGGGGGCACTGGTGAAAATTTGAGACCCATTACCAGGGACAGGGAGGCAGCTGAAGGAGTGCCCTAGCAGGCTTGCGGGATCATCTGATGAGGTGCAGCAGCTGTGAAGGGCCCACTGAGGGACAGAAGCATGTCAGAGGGAATGACTCATGGTTGAGCAATCTGTGCTCTTGGACTAAGCATTTCTAGAACTATTTGGACTGAAAGGGAAATACCAAAGTTCTCAATGCATCTCACAATTACCGTGTAAGACATACGTATTTTTGACTGTTGAGGAAGAAAAGCATAGAGATGTAGGACCCACCCATGCTTGTCTTCCAAACCTCTATCCTGCCTCTACTTCTGGTGATCTCAATGGGGGCTTCCAGTTGTTTACTTACATCTCATCAGACTACTGGAGCCTGGTCTCCGGTGCCTGAGGCACTGCCTGGTGACCATGAGCGACCCACATTGACAAAGGAGTGAACATGATTTGGATAAAACTGCTTTGTCCTTCTACCTTTATCACATGTACACATCTGCTCTGATCCAGGCAATTGATGAAGTCAAACAATGCTTAGTAATTAATGCTTAAGAATCCCCAAACGTCAACATCCTACCATCACTGTTGTTTTGGGTAAACACAGTCCCTAGAGACTAACATTGATACTTAACCATCCTTGGGCTGAATCAAGTAGATTTCCTCCTCCATTTTTATTATTCTTATTGTGGGGCTTTCATATTTAATATTGCATAAGGCCATTTTCTGCCAAAGAGATGGATGCTAATAGAAACAAGTAAACAGACTGATGAATCAGTAACCAAAGCTGCTAAATGTGGATTTAAGCCAATCATGTCCTATATCAATGAAAACCATGAAGAATATGGCTGCTGGTGCCTGATTGGATCCTTCTGGCTGGTGACTGCAGCTGGGAGTCTCATGCTTCCTGTAAGCCGTGTCTCACAGGGAAAGAAAACTGGAAAGCAGCTTGAGAAAGGCTGAGAATGCAAACTGTAGACACTGAATAAAAGGATTTTAAAAAGTTCTGAAACAATTCCTTCTCATCCTTACCAGACAAAAGTTGCTTTATGGGTTTTGAGTTCGAATCACTAGGTGCTTTCACATAATATGGGTAGATCTTCTCTATAGTCCTGTGTGTTAAGAAAAAAAGGGGGGAGAGTAATAGAGTTTTAGTTGTTTTATCCACGTAAAACTGATTTTTTGTTGCTATTTTTGACCTCATCTCAAATAAATGATGGTGAGTCTTTATACTTCTACGCAATGTGATGTCATCACAATTTCTGGGTTCCATTATAATCAGAAATTTCTGAAGCCAAACAAATTCAGTTGTTCTATTCGAATACTTAGGTAAACTCTGTACATGAGCTAGTTAATGCCTTAAAAACCGCTACAGAGATTTCCCACATCTGCGACCATTTCTGAAGCCAGGAGCTGTCTTTCGTGCTGGCATCTAAGTCCTTACTCTATGGAGATACATAAGTGTATCTATAATCAAGCAGACTGCATGAATCTATCTAGTGCCAGGAGTGAGGCCCAAGGAGACAACTGGTGGCCTGGACCTGTCCCTCCCTCTGCTGAGGACAAACTGAGTAACATGCGCAGGTCACTCTGTCCCTCTAGGTCTGTTCTCTCATGGGGAAATGATGGGGGAAGATCTGACAATCTTTGAGGTTCCTTCAACTTTAGTGATTAAAAAAGGCTGTCTTAGGGAACACATGTGAGGACTATATCATGGCTGTTCTTATACTCAACACATCAAAGTGGGGCCAGCACAGACTGGAGGTTAGAACTAGACACTGGCTGGTGAACGTCATTTAGCAGTTTTGCACCCATAGCATTTCCCCCTCCTCCTACTAGTTCTCATATTAGAATCTAACATCCCAGCTTGGATTTGTTTGAAGTGGAGTACTTATATGGCAGGATAATATATTAAGATAGAGTCCCCCCCCCGCCCAAATTTCCTTTTACCCCTTGTCTTCCCCACATCCCCCATCCATTAGCCAGGCATTCAATGAGCCCAAGTCAGGAGTAATAGTAGAAGGAGGGTCTCCCGGGGTCTTTCCCTGGCTTTTGCTGATTATGGTTAGATAATCAGCTTAGATGAGAACAAGGTTTGCTACCCAGAGACAAGATCAGGACTCCCGGGCCTATAGGCGGACAGAGAGTGAGAGTGAGAGGGTAGGAAGACAGAGCTGCTTTAATGCAACACAGCGAGGCTTCCAAGTAGAGTTCCCTTGAGTTACTGAAGAATGGAGAAAGTTGCATTTCTTGCATATGTGAATTTGCAAATGGAGATTTTGTACTAGATATAGCCATCTATTAAAGCTAATTAACAGGAGGAATCACTTACACTGGTGTTCTTGAACTTTCTGTGTTGTTGCCAGCTATCATTTTAGCTATATTCTTACGTGTAATATTTTTAAGAGGAAAAGAAAGCTTATCCGTTGCTATTTCTGCTTTTGCACCCAGACTCATGTTTCTGTGAGGAAAGATAAAAGGGCTCGATGTCAGTGATTATTCAGAAGTCTGGAAGAGAGATTCAAAAATTCATCTGACTCTTCATTTTATTAATCTCACCAAGTCTTCATTGGGTCCACAACTGTCAACCCCAACCTTTTCTGTCCACCTCACCTTTACGTCCAGCTTCTTAGACAACCAAGTTAGTAAACCCCAGGGAGGTCACAAACACCTTTAAAACAGATGGCAGGTGAGGAGGCTGTCTGCTGACTAAAAGAGAAACCGTCTTGAGGCTCTGGTATGAATTTCTGCAACACTCTTTATATTAATCCAATGAGGTTAGTCTCCATGGTGACTAATAGAATGCATGTTTTTAAAAGAATGTTCAATCAAAAGTTGATCTTTAATGTTGTTAATTTTTTGGTAGCTCTTCAAAGAAAAGGCTAAAAAATAAATTTTTGGCAGTCTAGAATTTCATGTGAGGAACTTGGGATGTAAATTCTAAAGGAGAAAATAAGATTCAGGAAGGAGTTCTTTCAATTCTGAACAGCCCCCCTTTGAAATCTTTCTTTACTATTTCCTTGGAAATTCATTTTAGATTGGAGAAGCTTTCTTAGGTCCCTATCATGATTCTAGAAGCCAGGAATCATGGACCCAAATGCACCTATCACTTGACTTCCCAAATAAGCTTGCATAGAATCCTGAACCACAAGACTGTGATAACAAACAAACAAACAAACACCAAGCCTTTCAACTATTTTATCGTGTCGAGGTTCCTCAAGTGCTTCACTAACACGATGGGTTTTTGAATGCAGGAAATTTTCCTAAGACATGCTCTTAGGAATGGATAAGGAAGATGTGGTGTGTGTGTATAGATATAGATATTACTCAGCCACCAAAAAGAATGAAATCTGGTCATTTGCAAAGATGTGGATAAAGCTAGAGAGTATTATGTTAAGCAAAACAAGTCAGTCAGAGAAAGACAAATACCATATGATTTCACTCATCTGTGGAATTTAAGAAACAAAACAAATGAGCAAAGGTGAAAAAAAAAGTGAGAAGGAGGCAAACCAAGGAACAGACTGTTAACTACAGAGAGCAAATTGTTGGTTATCAGAGGGGAGGTGGGTGGGGGATGGGTGAAATAGGTGACGGGATTAAGGATTAGGGCACTTGTGATGAGCACCCGGTGTTGTATGGAAGTGCTAGAATCACTATATTGTACATCTGAAACTAATATCACACTGTATGTTAACTGGAATTTAAATAAAAACTTAAAAAAAAAAAACAAAAGAGCAAAGTAGTGGCTGCATGCTGGCCATTGGCTCAGGTTGGGTGAGAAGGAGTCTCAGCTTTCCCCCTCTTGGGGCTGCCAGGCTGCTCTCACACACCACGCATGGAGAAAAGATCTGTTAGGGTTTCCCCATGTTGGGGGGATGTAATGAGAATTGCGGTTTCCAAGGCTGCAAGTTCTTCATTTCTTCATAAGACCAAAATTCACCCTTTCAGGGAAATCTTACAGTCATCAGACTATTTCATTTTATAAGTCCTTACCCTTTTCCTTTTCACTTTACCTCAAAACTCATTGCCAGCCTCTCTTTAGAGACTGAAGTTAGTAGGAAAAAGGAAAACTAAGAAGGTCTTATTTTTGCCAGATTCCCAGGCAGATCATTATTTAATAAACACAAAGGTTAGCTGTAGTATCAAAAAGCATGTCAACTAAAATCCACATCAATTGAATTTTTCTTTCCTTCTAGCCTCCCACCCCCACCCCGAGTTTGGATTGGGGGGAAGGGGGAAATCATACATGGAAAGACAGTAACTACCTCTGAATACTCCATGAAAAAACAACAGAGAAGCTACTATTGGGGTCCATGAGTTCCTCTATCATTTTCTGCTTACTGGGAGGGCTGATGGTCCACAAAGAATTTGAATTTCCTTCCAGTTCTGCTACTGTTATGTCTTCTTTTTCATAATTTTCCAGAAATTGCATAGCACCCTGTATGTGCACAAATACACATGCATAATTAGACCATATACATGGTGATGAATAAATAAAGTGATTACTCTTCCTTTTAACTGACTACAGAAAGAGGATTTCTTCTCTGGGAGGACAGTTTCTACAGTGGATGGCCTTGGTGCTCCGTGGTACTATTTTGTTCCCTTCTGCATTGGGATGGGCAGCCCCAGTCATACAGAGCAATCTCAGTACCAGCATAGGTATGGAATCATTCCAATTAATAAAGAAAAATCAACGGATTTGGTGTCATTTTTCCTCCCCACTAAGAAGGAAATTTATCAGCTCTTGGGGTGTTCTCTCTCATGAGACAGTCAAATTTAATTCACCCACAATATCGTGGTCCTACCTTCACAGCTGCATATCCCTTGAGATGAGTTTGGGCAGCGTGCATTATAGGCTGATAATTTCATAAAAGAGCTAAGCATCTGTCTGCCTGATCATTTTCTTTAAATAAGAAAGTATTATTTGTAAAGCAAATTTTAATTATGAAAAATCAATTTATCATATTATTGTAAGTTTGCAATGGAGAGAAAAGAATACATCAGCCACAACTTTGCCAACAGAATATTATCACCATTATATGCAGTAGGAAATCATTTAAAAAATAATAGCATATATTCTTCTTCATTTATGTTTTATCTTGAGAAATGTGCATGCCACGCATAGTCTTTGTAATGATTACCTTGTATTACAAAAGAAGTTGCTTGGAAAATATTCAGACAGCATAGCATGTAAATAAAATTAAAAGTGGTAGCCCCCTTCTCCCATGTCGACCACCCTAGAGAAGCCAGTGCCTATCAGATTCACTCGATACATTTGCCATAATTTATTCAACCAGTCCCTACTTGTTGAGCCCTCTGTTGCTTCCAACTTTTGTCAATACAGAGCATGCCATCACAAGCAGGTACCTGCATAGAGCTTTTCCAGTATTTTAAATTACTCCCTGAAGATAGATTCTCAGAGTAGATCTACTGATCAAATGGATCAGTATCTACCATAATTAAAAACATTTAAAAATATAAAAGAGGACCTACATCTGTTGAGCTTACATTAAAATGTCCTGAATTAAAATTATGTTTATTGACACTTATATCCAACAATACAGACATAATGTCTCAGATTATCCAAGTGGCCAATGGCCACTGGTAATCCCTGAAGAGTCCTTCCCACCACCACAGGCCATGGCAGAACAGTGAATAAAATGACAAGCAGTAAGCTCACCTAGGTGAAATGTCTTCACAGACATCTACTATATGCATTTACTTACAGTGTCCCTAGAGAAAGCTTTCATAAATTTATTAAACTTTGGCTGATCCATAACTTTCAACTGGCTTTGCTGGGCACTCATTGTGAAAATGGGCTGGAAAACAAAGAAACAGTGATGTCAACACTCCCGAGGCTCGTCTCTGCATCCTGGGTTAAAAGAGAAATCTTTACACAGTATATCATCACCCACTGAGTACCCAATGGCAACTGGCCTCAGGGATCTCTTTTTGAAGTTATTACTCCGGTGCCCCACACCAGAACAGAACTACCCTTTCATTGTCTTCTGTGCTTTATCTCATATGTCACATATTTGCTGACCAGTTAAAATGCAGGGGGGAATCTGGCCGCAAGAGCTAACTGAACATCCTGTAGCTGGTGGTCAGGAAAGACACAGGCAGGGACATCAGACCTGGGGGGCGGTACACAACAGTTACCTGATACCCTCCCAGGGTAATTGTGACCGAGACGTCCAGGGGCTGGTTGATGACCCCCGCCACAGATTTGATCAAGGACATGAAGAGAAGGGGAAACCAGACAATGCAGATGAGCAGAACGATGATCATGCCTCCCATGCCGTACTTCACCACTTTCTTCTTCTTCTGCCCCCGGGGCTGTGGGTATCTCTGCAACAGATGAGTCACACAGGGCTCAGGCTCCTGGCACCAGAAACAGGCAGGGGGAGGACGTGTGCTCTTCCCACAGGACCTGACTGAGGCCTGATTGTGCTCTGCTCACTCTGAAGTAGGGAGAGCAAACTTGTCCGCACGAAGTTAGGTAGTGATGTGAAGCTGTAATGAGCTCCCAACACATCTCCACAGTGGTACCATGAGGGGACCAATGGGACCTGAGAGACCTTCTCCTTAAAACTGTTGTGTGTGTGGGGGGGCACCTGGCTGGCTCAGTCCATTAAACATCTGCCTTCAGCTCAGGTCATGATCTCAAGGTCCTGGGATCGAGCCCCACATCGCACTCCCTGCTCTTGGGGAGTCTGCTTCTCCCTCTCCCTCTACCCCCTGCTCATGCTTGCTCTCTCTCTCTCTGAGATAAATAAATAAAATCTTTGAAAAAACAGTAAACTATGACTAGGACTGAGTGGCCTGCGTTTGTGAGTGTTCATATGCCAAGACTCTGCCTTTCAGGAAACTGTTCTGGCTTCATAAAGTGTATCCATAAAGCCCCTGGAGCACAGCATATTCGACTCTGAATAATCCCCAAGAAAAAGTACTGTTAAAAGAAGCTTACTCTTCTGCTTCACACCAGACAAGAGATTGTCACTGGTAAAGTTTCAGTCTCCAATGGGACAGGGTAGAAATGAGTGCCAGGTCCACTTGGATTCCCTTGACACTGACCTCCCAGATGCCTAAGTTCCTCAGGAAGTTCTACCACGTGTGATTTAGAAGGCTGATACTCCGGCGCCTGGGTGGCTCAGGCAGTTAAGCATCTGCCTTCCACTCAGGTCATGATCTCAGGGTCCTGGGAGGCTTTTTATTTCTTGAAGATAAAATAACAATAATTGTAAACCTTTTGTGGGCAGGAGTGCCTAGTGTTGTAGGGCAGAGCGACACTGGCCTGCACAAGGAGGACGGGCAATGGGTGTCACCTCCTCACTATGATATTAAGAAGGTTGCACGTGTTGGCTCAAAGGCAGTGAAAGGCTTGTAAGAGCCAACAGATGGGGCCGACACAGCTGCTCCCATGAAAAGTGGCCCTGTATCAACATGTGGCAGTCGTGTGAGCTCTGACTCAGAAACCCCCTCATAAGAGCTCCCCACCCATTCGTCCAGAGGAAGTAGTACCTCAGTTTCCAGTGCCCCCGGGGACAGGCCCTGGGTCTTGGGATGCAGTCCTTCTCCCTTGCTGTCAGCATAGAAGCTCATCTATTTTATGGAGAAGCTGGGCTATGTGGTGTGTGTTTGTTCACTGCCCATCTTTCTCCAGCTTTCCTGTAGGATGGCCATTCCTCTCCCCCACTACTAACTTGTTCACCCATGCCTCAGATTCCACACTTGCCAGCACCCCCTCACCCCTCCTCCTGGTTCCCATTGGGACCTTCTTCCTTTGGCTCTGATACTAAAAACTTTTGCTTTTCTTTTTTCTACTATTCTTTTCCTTAACACCTATAGAGGTTCAGATCCTCTCCATTCTGAAATTATCCTCTCAACTTGCCTCTCTCTTGAACTGATTCTCTCTTGGCTTTTCTCTTGTCTGTGCTTGGTCCCTCTGAAAGGGCAGCCACAGGATGACCCTGGGCAAGTGTGACCAGTGGTGTCCAGCCCAACTGCCCACATGCACAATTGTGAGCAAAGGAAATGGTTGTCATTTTTAAGCCACTAAGTTTGGGACGCCTGGGTGGTTCAGTCGGTTAAGTGTCCAACTCTTGGTTTCAGCTCAGGTCATGATCTCAGGGTTGTGGGATAAAGCCCCGTGTTGGGCTCTGTGCTTGGTGTGGAGCCTGCTTGGGGATTCTCTCTCTGCTTCACCTTCTGCCCCTCCCTGCCCTGTGCTTTCTCTCAAAAAAAAAAAAATATCTATCTATCTATCTATCTATCTATCTATCTATCTATCTATCTATATAGATCACTATGTTTGAGGTTGTTTGACTGCAGCAATAGACAACTGATAAGGTAACTGCTGAATGAATAGCTCCTGGAGCTAGAGGAGGACCCGCGCTTCCCAGCACGAAGGGTCCAGGATGTGAGTTCTCCTAGTGTCACTATGTGTACATGGACACCTCCTGAGGTAGCCAAGCTGTGATGGGGTAGCTTTGAGTGCTAGAAAATTCTTCATATGCCATTGAAACTTACCAGAGCTTTTGCCCACCTGTCTTAACTCTGTTATCTTGAGTCTTACAAATAAATTCAGATGTTTCCTCTATTTCCCAGTATTTCGAATAGTTACAAAGAGCTATTGTTTTTGCCTCCTTCCATTTTTTTTCTACTTCAGACAGAATAATTCTTGGTTTTTCTTATTCTTCTTCATTCTTCATGATTTCCAGACCTTTTGGCACCATGACTGTTACCTTCAAAGTCCCTTAGAACAGCTCTCATATCTCTCATATTCTGTCATTTTAACAGCTTTTCTGCTCCTTAAAAAATCAGGACAAGCTCTTTGATTTTAAGTTTACTGCCAGCCCTATTTGCTTCACTCCGACAAACTCCATAAACACAGGGGCCACAGGTCAGTAGGCCCCCGACCGTGAAGCTGAAACTCCCAGAAGCAGCAACAGAACATACTAGAAAATATATAGACTAGAGGGAACTTTTCCAAAGAGGGTATTATCGAGAAGAGAAAAAAAAAAAGACACTTTATACCACCTCAGCTAATGCTTGTTGAGTGGTCCTATTGCTATTATACAACAGACTCCTGTTTCAGATGTTAAACTTTTGAAAAATCCAATAAATAACAGTAATTTCATCCATATTCAAATCTTAATAGTCAATCTAACAGAATAAGCAAATATTTGCACTTCAAATTCCTTTGCACAAAGATGTTATATTGTCCCATCGCTCATCAAAGAGTGAATCAGAGGGTGAGCCTGAGTCCAAGCCACCTGACCTCACTTTTCTCTACCATACCACATTCCCTTCTGCTCCCAAATGAGCCATTTAAGCATTATTGGGTCACACAGCAATATATCATTTCTTCTTTTTAAAATAACTAAAATATACATTTGCCAAGAGGGGAACACATCTGGATGCTATTGCTGACTAAGGCATCAGCGAGTCCAAAATTCCCAAGTCCAGGGGGTGGAAACCAATGGGACACTTATAGGTCCTCACCGTTTTTGCCCCCTGCCCCCATTTGTTTGGCCACAAAACTTGCAGAGGTTCACACTAATCTTATAACCAGCCCGATGGAAGGGAAACAGAAAAGGATCAGGCATTTTTATTGGCTTACTTTTTCAGACTCCCGCCAACACTTCAGGATGAATATGTGAGCATAGATGTCCTCCACACAGATCCAGCTGGAGAGGCTCAAGGTCGTGTCTGTCCATACCCAGTCCATCACAGCCCTCAGCTCAGTCAAAAAGGGAACGAGGCGGAACCTGCCAGAAGCCACATCTTGTTAGATGGATAGTTGTGGGGTGGCCCCCATCACCCTCCCAACCCCAGGAGCTCATGTAGTTCCCTACTGTGTTAGCCCTATGACTCAGGAACAATTAATTCTCAGGGTGACCCTTATGGTAAAATGCAACTGGGAATTACAATCTCTTTCCATCATGAGTCAGTGTATAAATTATATTTCCATTCCCTTTTTTGATTTTTTTTCTTTTTGCTGATGGTCTTAACAAATTAACGTTTCCCTTTTTATTTATTTTTTATTCTTAAAAAAATTTTTTTTAATTTATTTGAGGGAGAGAGAGTGAGAGAGAGAACAGGAGCATTTGGGGAGGGGCAGGGGAGCAGCAGAGGGAGAAGCAGGCTCCCCACTGAGCAGGGAGAACAATGCGGAGCTCAATCCCAGAACCCAGAGATCATGACTTGAGCTGAAGGCAGACTCTTAACCAACTGAGCCACCCAGGCGCCCCAGGATTCCCTTTTTAAATAAGTTTGAAGGTGTCCTCTCCAATTTTTCTCAACAAAGGTTTGTAGTTTTCATTGTACAAATCTTTTTGGTTAGATTTATTTCTAAGTATTTCATTGTTGCTGGTGCTGTTGTGAATGGGATAGCTTTCTTTGTTTTTTTTTTTTTTTCCATGATATTTTGTTTTTAGCATATGGAAACACCACTGATTTCTGCATGTTGATTTTACTTCCTGCAACTTTACACTGAATTCATTGATTACTTCCAACAGTTTTCTGGTTGGGTCTTTAGGATTTTCTATATTTCTTCTGCAAAAAAACCCCTATAATTTTACTTTTTAAAACATTTGCTTATGAGAATCTATTGCTCTGAGGATTACAGAACATTGGGGTTTTGCTGCTGAATGAGCTAGGAAAAGTTATATAGCTGGTACGTGAAAGATGAGGGCAAATGAGAGCTGTCAGAGGGAGCAGGACATGTATTTGACCACACACAGTAGAGCCCACACCTGGTGGACTTAGTAGGTGCCTAAGTTTAATAAGATTCTGGCTTATCTTCTTGTATTTAGGAATGGGTTGGCCTGGGTTCCTCTTAGGTATGGAGACTATTCCTTGGGTTTATTTTTTTAATTGAAATTGAAATTTTATTTTTTATTTTTAAATATTTATTTATTTATTTATATTATGTTCAATTAGCTGGCTAATTATTCCTTGTTTCTTGACTAACACAGAGCTTCTCTCTGGCTGGAGAACCTGGGTGGACCTCAGGGCCTTCACAGCAGCTTGGGTTACCACTCAGAAATTCTCCCCTAGGCCACTCGGCTCTGCCAAGTGAATGCTAATCCAACCCCTGGAAGAAATATCAGGCCATCCACAGAACAACACTAAGTGACTCACTGAGCATGCTCAACACCTCTTCTGTGACTAAGTCACCATCCCTAGGTCTGGTGCAACAGTGCAACCAGCAGTGCCATGAGCAGCCTGGCCTTTTATGCTGTGGTATAAATTCCAAGGGAACAGAGAGGAGATACTACCAAAGAAATCCTCACACAAAGAGCCAATATGCTTCATTTGAGTAGCTAACTCACTATCAGGAACAAGCAAGTCATGTGGCAAATATTTAGGTTGACTCTAGGTGGAATAAAATGGCCCTCATCAATGGAGGAACTCATGGTCAACACAAAATCCCAAAGGTATTTTGAAACAGTCCAGATTCCAAATTTCTGTTCCACTGTGCCCAGAAATATATTAATACTTAAGGATCACATATCCATATTTTTCATCCTGAAATATTACCACAGTAATTATGCAGGATACAGCAATAGAAAGTTAACCCATGTGTCTGATTCTAGAACAATATACTGGCCAGGTGTGTGGCAATTATCCAGAGAAAGGTATTTAAAGAGGCATATCTGTCTTTTGCCAAACATCGCTCAGAGTTCCGTGATGATCCATATTGCTACGTCAGCATTCTGCACCCTCCTGTTCTTCCCAAGGAAACCAAATACGTTTCTATTGCCAGCCTCCCCTCCATCAGTGACTGTGACAATTCAGAGTGTCCTTCCTTACCCTTGAAACAAGAAGAGGTTGACATAATTATAGCTCTTGGTGAGGAAGTTTCCAAGGACTCGCGTTGGATAGCCACAACGGATTTGGTAAGCAGACAACCCGAAGTAAACACATTTCACAAAGTACCAAAGCTGAGCAACCAGGTTCTGGCTGAACTTCCTAAAATGTAAAAACACAGAAAAGTGAAATAATGGAATATTCTTCGGGTACAACAGCACACCAGTGTAGGATTAAAAAAAAAAAGAAAAGCCTAATTGTCCCTCTGGTGCTTAGAGTCCATTCAGCCAATTGTAAGGAATCCTCTGTACATACTAGATTACTTCAAAGACAAAGAGTATGGTAAGAATATCTAATAATTAAAAAAATATAAATGGTGCCTCCTATGTATTAGTGCGTAATTCAGTTGTTTCAGCCATAATTAAACTTATTTATTTATTTTTAAATTTTTTATTGTTATGTTAATCACCATACATTACATCATTAGTTCTTGATGTAGTGTTCCATGATTTATTGTTTGTGCATAACACCCAGTGCTCCATGCAGAACGTGCCCTCCTTAATACCCATCACCAGGCTAACCCATCCCCCCAACCCCCCTCTAGAACCCTCAGTTTGTTTTTCACAGTCCATCATTTCTCATGGTTCATCTCCCCCTCCGACTTACTCCCCTTCATTCTTCCCCTCCTGCTATCTTCTTCTTTTTCTTTTTTCTTAACATATCTTGCATTATTTGTTTCAGAAGTACAGATCTGTGATTCAACAGTCTTGCACAATTCACAGCGCTCACCATAGTGCTACCTATGCCTATCACCCACCCACCCACCCCATGCCTCCCACCCCCCACCACTCAGCAACACTCAGTTGGTTTCCTGAGATTAAGAATTCCTCATATCAGTGAGGTCATATGATACATGTCTTTCTCTGATTGACTTACTTCATTCAGCATAACACCCTCCAGTTCCATCCACGTCGTTGCAAATGGCAAGATCTCATTCCTTTTGATGGCTGCATAATATTCCATTGTGTATATATACCAACTCTTCTTTACCCATTCATCTGTCGATGGACATCTTGGCTCTTTCCACAGTTTGGCTATTGTGGACATTGCTGCTATAAACATTGGGGTGCACATACCCCTTCGGATCCGTACATTTACATCTTTGTGGTAAATACCCAGTAGTGCAATTGCTGGATCGTATGGTAGCTCTATTTTCAACTGTTTGAGGAACCTCCATACTGTTTTCCAGAGTGGTTGCACCAGCTTGCATTCCCACCAACAGTGTAGGAGGGTTCCCCTTTCTCCGCATCCCCGCCAGCATCTGTCGTTTCCTGACTTGTTAATTTTAGCCATTCTGACTGGTGTGAGGTGGTATCTCATGGAGGTTTTGATTTGGATTTCCCTGATGCCAAGCAATGTTGAGCACTTTTTCATGTGTCTGTTGGCCATTTGGATGTCTTCTTTGGAAAAATGGCTGTTCATGTCTTCTGCCAATTGCTTGATTAGATTATTTGTTCTTTGGGTGTTGAGTTTGATAAGTTCTTTATACATT